TAAAGCTGTAACAACTTCTTCTTTAAGTTTCTCTTGTGGGTCCTCTTTAAGACCCCTAATTCTCAGAGCAAATTCTAATTGTTTATATTGTAACATTACCATGTCATTTTGAAAAGTTTCCACTCCTTCCTCTACCTTTTCAAGTCTATCCTCCGTTCCTTCCATTTTCTCCACTAATTCATCCACTCGTCCCTCTACACGATCTATATGAGCTGCAAGTCCTTGAAAAATATGTAATAAATTTTCACAAAGTTCCTGATTTTTCTTATCCAAAAGTTCTTCTGTTTGTTTCAGAGTCTGTAATGAGGACTTGGCTAAAGCCTCTTGTAAATCTTTAAGTGTAATAGAGGGAGGAGGTGTTGGTGGGGGAGATCTAGGTTTTTGTTGTTGAGTTTGCACCACAGGAGAAGAAATAGCTGTTTTAGGCAACGCAGGAACAGTACGTTTTGAAGCCATTCCGCCAAATTATTTTTTAAAAATCATTACAGCAAGTATAAACTTAAAAAGCTTGACTTTAAGTAAAAAAAATTTTTTTTCTTTTAAGGTACATCCACAACCGGAAAGAAAGTGAAAGTTTTCCTTTTGTTAAAAAAAAAAAGAATGCTTCCGCGGCCATTTTCTTGTCACTTTCACTTATAACAAGTAATAAAAATCCCAATAAGATCTTCGAGTTAAAGTCACATTTTAACTGAAATAAAAATCCCCTGTCAGATTCCGTCTGTTTCAAAAGTTACTCACAAGCAGATACAATGTAGCAGCAGTGGCAGCGACGTCTGGCTTCGCTCCAAGGAATGAAGATGCACCGAGCTGCGGAGAAGAGGTCCGGACTCCGGGGGAGTTCTCACCTTCATCCCCCCAGGATCGCTCCTGGGGGGACTAGGGAACTCAACCCCTATCCAGACCAAACTCACTTTCTCCCCTTCGTCCGGGGAGAAAGTTCCGAGCCGCAAAACAGCTTATCTGCGCTGTTTTGGCGGCATTGATGCAGTCCCGGGCTGGAGGCTGAAGAAAAAGCCTCCTTCGGCGACGCCTAGCCACCGGAAGCTCCGTGTGGGAAACATATTGAACCTGCTACCCAGTTCATAGCATTACTAGACACTTTCCTTCTCACCTACCCTGATAAGGCACAAATAACAGTTTCCATTTGCCAAAATGTCTACCTTGCAGCAGGAGGAATCAAGGACCTGGCAGAATGAAAAGCACTCAGTGCTTCCATCTTCTGATTGAATAAGGGATGGGTCCCATGCAAGACTTTAATCATGGCTGCTTATACCTTTTGACTCTCTCAGCCCATGCAAGAATGTTTGCAATAGAAAGTAAATAAGAGTATATCAACATCTGAATTTTAATATTACAGTTGTCTGTTTGTTGGCAAAGTGTAGCTTGCTTTGGCTAATCTTAAAAGCTGAGCTGAGTTAGACTTGGCTAATGTTTTGAAAAGAGATCAGTTAGAAATCACAGGCTAGATGATGAGTCTAAAATAAATCTTCAGAAAAGGCAGGGGCAAACCACTTTAATACTATTGCCAACTAAACCAGTTATCAGGGCCTGAACTGTTTGTTTGATACAGTGGAGGACTCCTGCAGAGAAAATCCCAAATCCACATTGTTTTCAAGTATTCCCAAATCTCAAGCAGATTTGTGGCCTGCTGGGGAATATGAGACTTGTTCTGTATTTGCTAATGAAATTTGTGCTGGGTCAATTAGCTTAAAGATTGCATTGTTAGAATTTAACAAATTGCATTGTTAGAATTTACATTTAAAAATTGGAGAAATAAATTAAATAATTGCTTTTTCCGAAATATGATTTCAAGCATGCCTTCGTTCCTTCGTCCTTCCTTCCTTCCTTCCTTCCTTCCTTCCTTCCTTCCTTCCTTCCTTCCTTCCTTCCTTCCTTCCTTCCTTCCTTCCACCCATCTCAACAAGTGACTCTGTGGGACAAACAAAAATAAATTAAGAACAGTTAAAACCAGCAATACATAATTAAAATATGTAGCAGGAATTGCTATAAAACTTTATTATTCCATTGAAATAATCTTTCTTTTTACTACTCTGTGTTAATAATCAACTCTGCACTGTTATATTAAAAGATGTTTATAGTCCAGAAGAATGGGATTGCTGATTTGTAATGCAAAATCTATATATGTTTTTCTTTTAGAATCAAAATGCAAAGAAACACTTCTCCATCTTGCAATGAGATTGGGTCTGGTTCAACTTTCACAGTTCCTGTTATTCCAACCAGGTGGAACAGTTGCAGTCACTTTACTTAACGAAGAAGGATTGACACCCTTGGACTTGGCTTTACAGAATGGACATTTCAGTCTTGTTGAAATGTTTTCCAAGTAAGTAGTATGGCTTGACATGAAATAATGGGAAGAAATTAATAGTAGTAGTAGTAGTAGTAGTAGTAGTAGTAGTAGTAGTAGTAGTAGTAGTAATAATAATAATAATAATAATAATAATAATAATAATAATAATAATAATAATAATAATAATAATAATAATAAAGTTGGAAGGGACCTTGGAGGTCATCCAATCCAACCCCCTGCTCAGGCAGGAAGCCCTATACCATTTCAGACAAATGGCTGTCCAGTCTCTTCTTAAAAACTTCCAGTGTTGGAGCATTCACCGCTTCTGGAAGCAGTTTGTTTCACTGATTAATTGTTCTAACTGTCAGGAAATTTCTCCTTAGTCCTAGGTTGCTTCTCTGTTTGGTTAGTTTCCATCCGTTGCTTCTTGTCCTGCCTTCAGGTGCTTTAGAAAATAGCTTAATTCACTCTTCTATGTGGCAGCCCCTGAGATATTGGAACACTATCATATCACCACTCGTCCTTCTCTTCATTAAATTCAGTGACTACTTTTGTTTGTACCTCTGTTAAATTCAGTGAATTATTCTATTGCAGATGTTTAAATGGAAATACTCTATCATAGGGTTTTTCAACCTTTGCAATTGCTGCTTGGCTTTTACTATCCAAAATTTCCCAGCAAACAAGGCCATTGTTTAGAATTCTGGGAGTTGAAGTCCATCTGAAAATTGTCAAGGCTGGAAAACACTGCTCAATGGGAGTACAATATAATTTACTTGTTTATGTCTTGTTATATATTATAATCTCATATTTGGTTTACTTAAAGTTTTATGTGAACCTTATTCTTATAATTTAGGGGTAGATAATAATTCTGTAAATAATGAGTAAATAGAAAAGAAGAAAAATCCAGCTAGATCTAAAAACCGATTAGAAGGATGGGCAACCAAAAACAGTCTAAGTGAGATAAACAATAAAGCAACTTCAGGTAAAACTGTTTGATTGGCATCTCTGTTTATATGTTCTTAGAGATTATCCAAAGTATTTAGGAAATATGCAAAGTATTTTTCTCTCTAATGTGGACATGTATTCACTGGATTTGTTAGTAGTATCTCTTGCTCTTTTTATGATAATAATAATAATATTTAGCTTCTCAAAAGGTGCTATTTTGTAAGAGGTTAGAATACACTCTTACAGCAAAACAGCAGTCTTCTGTCACTTCCTTTCTTCATCAACGTAATTATTACCATTATTTTTCCTTCTCCTTACCTGACTCGCTTTTCAACTACATATAGATTTCGCTCTGTCATGCACCTACAATCACACACCCCACTCACAAAGTTGCAGTGAAATAGAATAGATTTTAAGCTGTTCAAGAGTTCATTTCCTGCTGAAGTTCTGAAGCAATATGTTGTTGCTGATTAGACGACTTGGCTGGCACCATCTATTGTACCACAGGTCTGCCCTGGAGATCCTCTCCACGATTGACTTAGCAACAGGCCAGTTGTCTAATTTTATTTTAAAGTTGCCATGAAGGTCGTATGCAAACAGAAGCAAGTAAATATCCTTTTTTGGGATATTTATTGGGATTTTTGGTTTGTTGTATACAGACAAGGACACTGTATCACATAATCTTAAAATGAACAAAGAGGGTAGTTTGGAGCCAGGATTCTGACAGTTGTCTTGTTCAAATGTACCCATTCTCATTATCTAGTCATGATAGTATTAAATAGGAAAGAAAGAAAATGAACAAGAAAAAAAAAGCCCCAGCTTAGTTACTCCCCCTCCTTCAAATCTACACTGCTGTTTTGTTTCTAGCTTTATACAATATTCAGTTTGTATAAATTTATGCATTCTTTGTTATCACACTTATTATGAATCTCACATTTTTGGAACATTCAAACAATACAACTCTCTAGAGATTATTTTGTATTGTGGTATGCTTATGAGCTGGTATGTCTATTGAATCTGGTTTGTGATTAAATAGTCTGCGTTTTTTTTAAAAAAAAGCCACAGGAAAAGAAAATCAGCTGTATGTTCTTATTTTTTTTATCAGAATTCTTCCAAGTTGGAATTGTTGATTCATGGGCAAAGTTCTTCAGGAAAAACTTTGTTTAGCCTGAGCATTCCATAATATTTTTTACATGAAATCTTTGTAATTAGTCAGATTAGAGTCTGAAATTATGGAATGCAGTGAGAGAGGGATTTTGCATAGGTTTGTGTTCTATGTTTCATTTGTCCTGGCACTCTTACTCTAATCTCATGAATGTGTTGTTTCAGAAGGCAGACCATCCATCCTTTTGAGATTTCTAAAGTGGAGCTTAATGAAAATGCTGTCCTTCAATTTGCTTATTCGTCAGGAACTTTGTTGCTGACATTTAATCACACAACAGACCATTCGTTAGAATCTGATGTTCAGCTCTTTAGGAAATACTTCTGGGATAGAACTTTTACACAAAAGGTAAGGACCAAGTTGTAGTATAGTGAAATGTTATCCAATTTTTATGAAGCTAGTTTTTATTTAAATTGAAAAGTGATGTGGAAAATATTAAAAACCACATTCTAATTAAATGCTGTGTGTATTTTACGTTGTACGTACATGTAAGTTCGGTATATGTTCAAGCAACCCTTATAGAAAACAATTACTTAAGTATATGTACATTTGAAGAAAGAAATAAGCTATTTTATGTATGATTCAGCAATAAGGCCTTTGCAATACAAAATTAGAAGGAAATGTCTGAAGGAGTGCATAGTCCATAGAATAAACAGGATGTCCTGGGCAGACAAATAGTACAGAGGTTGAACAGAATTTGGAAGACAGATTATAAACAAATCTTAGTATAGCTGCAAAAGATTAGTGTAACCTGCTGAAAATTAAATTGTTCTTGAGGGAAAGCTAATATGTGCTAGAAAATTCAAGATGAATCATCACTTAAGAATGAGAACTACAGAAATGTAATAAACTTTGAACACAAATTAGTTCTATAGGATATAATGTTATTCAGGACAATGCTGCTATATATGACAAAGGCACTGTATAAAATTAGAAATTATAAAAAGAAGCTGAAGATTTTGCCCAGCATGTCCATGGTTGCCTTGAAATGGAGAGTGAAATCAATAACGCATCCAGGAACAATCTCTTTTAGAAATACTTGATTTCTAGTGATTCTCATAGACTGAATAAATGCATGTTCTACTTTTAACAAAGAGATGTAATTCATATACATCCTGAATTTGAAGGAAGCAATCTGACTGAGAAGTGGTCAGTACTTCTTCTAGAATTCTCTGCAGCTGAATCCCCGTCATAGGCTTAACAGCGTGCTATAAAAAGAAAAAGTTGGGCAATGCACTGCTGGATCTCAAGAGGGCCTTTTTAAGAAAAATGTGCAGCACAGCTTTCTTAAGACTGTTAACACTATCTCCTTCCTGAAGTAGGGTGTTGCTGGTATCCCAACTCTTGTTATTGCATCCCTATAATTCCATATAATAGCCAAGATATGGAATCCCTGTAATTCCATAATAGCCGTGTGCCTAGTTCACAAATGGCTGGGGTCATAGCAGAAAGCACTCTAGGTAATTCCTTGGAATCCACAGGCCAAAAGGAGTCCCTTGCAGAAAGATCAATGCTCTCCCAATCTTCGAGTTTGGGGAACTGAAGGGAAATACAGTGATTACCTTAAGAAAGGAATACAAGGACTTCCGGTGGCAGGCGATTTCGCTGGTCGCAGCTGTTTGCTGCCTCCCGCCTGTTTTGCGTAAAAGCCGGTTTGACAGCCAGCATCAGCTGTCAAACGGCTTGATACCTTTCCCCTGGGCATAAGGGGATAGGTGAGCTGCCCGGGGTAGGAGTTGAGTTCCCGAGTCGTCCTATATGGACGATGTAGGCGA